TCTGGGACGAATGTAAAACCGATCGTTCCGCTTTTTTATCACTGATTGTTTAGGCAGAATCAGAACTACGTTGATCAGTCTCAAGGACTGCTTGCCATACCGGCCGAGTTAGTCAAAAAGTAAAGAAGTGAACGGCGGTCGGCATTCAAATAAAGGAATGTTCCTAAATCATCACTTAAAAAGAGCGACGAGACCACGCTTTTTCAGTGCAAGACCAATATTTTCAAAATACATAACTACCGTGGTGAAATGTCGACGAATGAATGGTGAAGCGGAAGAAGGGGTTAAGTCTGGCATTATAACCATGGACGCATTTAATGCGAATGTGAAAAACTGTCCACTGTGCGGCAAAACCAACATAGAATTTGAAACTTTTGGTTCATTATACGATTCCTTTGAACCATTGTTTAGGTTTACTTGCGCCATTTTGGGATGACTTTAAAAAAAAACAATACTTTGCGGACCATAATGCGCAAACCCCTCGGCCTCCTACCGAATTCTGTTTTAATTCGGCTGCAGTCGGACAGCTACATCAGGTTAAGTCTAGTGCAGCCAAACACTAAAGCTTATCTTGATCCCCATTCTGTCAGCTTTTACAATGTTTAAGCCGATTTTTATACCCTCGCTCTTTCTTCTTTAAACATTCATACGCTCTAATATGAAAATGGTTGTATGACAGAGTAGTTCAAAGCTTAATGCTCCCAATGCTTGAGAAAATGCCTAATATTTTGAAACATTACCATACCTGAAATCGAAGGAAGACGTAAGAACTGTAAAATGAAGGCTATGACTATAACCAGGGAAGGCTTCAAACGCCATAAGGCCGTCTAGCCCTTAGAAGCAAGGCTATTTCTAGGGGAATTTAAATTTGGTTTGGGCATTATTTTGTCACTTCTTTGACTTTTCGTGGCCGTGGCATTCGTGACCAGTTTTGTGGTGTATAAGGAGAGGTTGATTCCCCCCGCCTCTAAACTTTGGTCGCGAAACTGATGAAAAGTGTCGGAGTGCCTTGGATTCAAATCGAGGAGGTCATAAACTTTTGCCATACGTACATAGGATGCAATAAATTAAGTACTCTTTAGCAAATCACTTGACTAAGGTTAATATTTTGAACACAGTGGGCCGTCAAACCTTACTCGAGTAATTCATTTGAAGTATTCGTGATGTGGAATTCGATGAAAGTATTGAATCTAATTTTGGTTGAGCTGGAGCCTTCCCGACAAGGAGACACGCTAAGTTTCTGCACTGCTTTCCGCAGGGTACATATTCTGGGGCTGGTGGGGACTGCCTGTTTAAAAGCATGTCCAACTAGAGGCACGGCCACTGCTTCTGCGACTGCCGTTCTGTGCTGCAACTCTGGCCTTTGGGTAAGACCAACATCGAATTAGGATGTACACAGGGTTACGCGATTCAATGGATTGCACCTGAATGAGCTATTTTCCGATTAAGAAGAAGGGGAGGAATCCAATATGGCGGCGTCGTAGTGAGTATACAATGCCACAACACTAAGACCTATTCCACAGGGACACCTAGTACGACTTTGACCCACTCTGGTCCACGACTGGTCCGACTGTACTCGGCGTACTCTGTATTCCTGCCTAAACTAACAATTCAACACCGAAGATGTACTCTTGTCCTCTTACAATCAGTCTGAAAAAGAATTTCCCCGTTTACATAGTGTTTTTCCTGCTTTTTGTTTTGATGTTTTTTTTCAATTCCAAGGAGCGACGCCTCGCTTCTTGTTGGACAACCGCGAACGCGCGAACAAGTGGCCCGCCAGGCACGTTCCAGAACAGAGGCGCGCGCAATCAGTTGCATGGTTATTTGGTGCCGAACGATCTCTTCCCCCTCCAGTCACACGTTATGTTTGCCAGCACTAGCCATACTGCTTCAATGTGACGGAGTACAATCATTTGCAATGTCGCGTAACCCTGAGGAGGGCTATTTAAGTTTTTTTCTAATTCGTTGATTTCAACTATTGTTTGGTTAGGTTTAGTTCAAATAAATATCGTTTGCGTCGTC